AATCACCTTTTCCATCTATGATGATATTTGCTGATTTATTTTTATTTGCACATCTGATTACTTCTCTGTTACTCTTTTTAAAATCTTTTAAAATAAAACCTTTTCTGACTATGTGTTCGGTTGCTCCGGAATCTGCGATAAATGATATTTTATTATTCTCTACATTTTTACGATCATTCTTACCTTCACTTGTTAGCATAGCTTTTATCTTTTGGGCCTTCTTGCCCTTACTACCAGAGGCTTTCGACTTAGCCTGGTTTTTGCTAACTTTACTATTATCTCTGAATTTACTCTGAGATTTTTCCTTCTTAACATCCCTATCTCTGAAATTTTTATTTAATTTTCCTACATACCCGTCTTTCGGATTGTCCTTGTTTGGACACTGGTCGCCCTTGTGGTTTCTAACTGCTTGGCAGTAGAAACAGTACCACAGGTTGTATTCTCTCAAGGGACAACCTGCAGCCCTGTGACCCTCCCGGTTGCATCTGAAGCATTTTTCAGCCTTGGGCTCAGTGCTCTTGGTGACCACATTTGCTCTGACCTCTGAAGTGGTTTTTCTCTGAAACTGATTAATACTCTGATTATTCTCCGCTTGTAGATTAATTAAATACGCTTTTATATCATCTAAAGACATTTCCGCTTTTGTTGTCACGCGCATGACGGAATTCGCGGTTCTTATTTCTTTGTATCTCTCTGAGACGGCGTGGTAAAAGGCAGATCGCTTTTTCTCCTCTGAGAGAGATACCATGTCTCTGTAATTTTCATATTCCGTCACGACTGTATCGAAACGGTCTATGAACTCTGAAGCAGATTCATTGGTCTTAATTTTGAGGTTATATAACCGCGCTTTGACTGACGAGGCTGTGACGTTTGTCTCTGCTAATCGGAACTCTTTAATTTTAGAAATAATATCTTTTGGCTCTGAAATGTTTATCACTTTCTTGTGATAGTGCTCATCTAAATGGCTAATTATAAGTTCTCTGACAAGCATTTTCCTTTTATTCGACTCTGAAAAACCGTAAGTTTCTTCTAAATTACGACTATTTTCTAAAACATCTATATAGTCAATCGTTTTCAATTCACTTGTCAGAGAGTCAAGCCAGAGGGTAAACGAACCTTTTTGCGTTAATTTATATTTTCTTTCGAACGAGGGCTTTACTCTGCTTCTATTTCCCGAATCTACTGAACGCGCGAGGTTCGTCACCGTGTTATTCAATCGATTTAAAATGTCGTCTGAATTATTTGAATTCTGAGGTTTTTGTAAAGTAAAGTCGGATATTATTTTTGGACCTGATTGACGTCCCTTATCCATATTTACCGCGTTAAGTAAAGGGATATTAGAAAAATTGAAATTTTTACTAAAGCCCCCAATACCATCTCTGCGTCTGAATATCGAATGCAAGAAGGAATCACTTACATCTGAACTCTGAAGATTTCCCTTATTCTGAGGCGGGCCTTCTCGCTTCTTGCGCATCTCCTTTGACATAGTTTTGTTTGCCTCACAAACATCTTCTATGGCGTTCACCATTTTTTCGCAGACATCCACCAGAGCCTGAACGTGTCTAGTGGACTTCTCGAAGTTCACTGATGCTAGCGCCAAGTTCCGCGCTATTTCTTCAATGGCATCAAGTTGTTGTTGCCTTTCCTCTTTCTCTTCTATCTCCAAGTCTAAATCCGCGTCCCTAACGGATTCCGGATTCTCTGAAAAACAAAAAAAAAATACAGCCATCTAGACATCTTATTTTTGGTTTTATTTCCTTGGAGGTTATAAGCCTTGCGGTCATATAACTCTTTTTTGGCCACTCTGAGATTTGCTGTATTTATTCTACAATAAACATCGAACATCTATAAGTTACCTCTTTCTGAGGTCGCAAGCGACCGCTCAGGAGACCCGTCGTCTGTTCGAGTCTCCCCCGGATCACCACTCGACTCATTGACTGGCCTCTCCGGAGTGCGGCTCCTGCTTTCATTGTCCATCTCACCTGCATGACCAAAAAAGTATTTAGAAAATACCCATGCAAGATTTAATTATTGTTGAAGGCACCCAAGATTCATGACGACACGGCCTGTCAAGAACGGGTAGCCCTCTAGCTGTCGAGCCCTACCGGCCGCTGGTCTACTCCCCGCGTCCTGCTTAGCCGTTGTCACCGCACAGCTAGTGACAGCTACGCGAGCGAGAGTGCACCCGCGGTGCAGACCCACAGACCAAACGGTATCACGACAACTTCTCCTTAGGATATATGTACGACGTTTGCACTGCATGACTGTCGACTGCATTAAGAATGCAGATTTTAGCGCGATTTATTTGTGTGTGTGTAAAAGTACTGCACGGCTAGCACTTTCACACACTCACGCAACGGAGAGAGAAAAATAAGCGAGGAAACAATTTAGTTATGCCCATCCGAGTAATTTTATATACATACATACATATAGGTATATATATAAACTATACGTCTCAACAAGAAAAAACTCTGAAAAACAAANGTTATGCCCATCTGAGTAATTTTATATACATACATACATATAGGTATATATATATACTATACGTCTCAACAAGAAAAAACTCTGAAAAACAAAACTCTTCTAATAGCAACAGTATTTTCATGTCACGTCAGGCTCTACTCGCGCCGCGTGTTTACTCTTTCTAGCGTCTTCCCGGAATTCGCGAATGCCGTAGCGGCAGTCTGTCCCAATCTCTCCTCTCCCCGCCCCCTCCCCACGCATACACTGTCGCTCCTCATTCGATTTGTATAAAAAAACGACTCTGAATGTAGCTGTCTCTTTTTTTTTTTTTTCTCACACTGAAATGTTTCTCTGCTTATTAATTGCTCTTTATCTAAAGCAATCATGGGTAAAAAAAAACGCTACATGGAGGAGTCGGCCTAGCTGATCAGCCAGCCGAGAGCGAGAGAGAGAGAGANAATAAATAGTGTCCGGGAGGTCAGGAGGTCACGTGGGTAGCAGACGTACTTGTTCACGACATATATATACCATATACCTATATATTACATCGCTATACTACACCAACACAGGTGGTCTGGTCTGGTGGTGTACTGTTGGACTTAAGCCTTATTGCAGGTGGTGGAAGGGTGAGGGACAGGTCGCAGACAAAAATGCCCTTCTAGTATTTTGTGAACACGTAAAACTTTATTTAATAAGAGTTGCCACGGCCGGTATGTGTTGCCGGAAAGATGATGCTCGCTGTACAAGTGCTCAGGCAGAAGTGAGTAGGCTTGAACAGCTGTGACGAGATGTATAGTGTGTTACACACGAGAGGCGTCAGGCGGCAGCACAAAGCACCTTTTCTTAACACTCCCTTCCTTTGGGTTGATCGCTCTGAAGAATCGTCTCTGAAGTTTCACACGTCTGAAGATTACTCCGACTCTGATTTGGAGCTAGTGATCTCCATATCACTGTTTCCTTGGTTTGACGTATCTGAAATCACATTAAAATAATATATTTTAATCTCTGAGTTCTCTGATCAAAAATTACTGTTTAGTAATTTTCTTCTGAAGTAGATGTGTTTTTCTGAGGACAAAGGTTTTGTCATGATATCTGCCTCATTCTCTGAAGTGGAAATCCATCTAACATTTACTTTATTCTCCAGCACACATGCTTTCACATAGTCACCATGTGTACTTGCCATGTGACACTTTTTGCCAGTAATCTCTCTCTGTTTCAATTGTTTCTGGATCGTCTGAAGGTCATCATCAAAGTTTTTGAGTCTATGACATCCATCCATCTGAGTGCTCTTAACAGCTGCCAAATTATCACACCAGATAGTCACAGGATACATAGACGTTCCCGTTATACTTCTAATCGCCTTATCCAGAGACACCAGCTCTTGACAGGCATCACTCATGGCTAGATACTCTGCATGACATGTCGAGAGAGTCACATATGACTGTTTGTGACTCCTCCACATAACAGGATCGCCAAACAATTTTATGATGTACCCGCCAGTCGTAGCAGAATCATCTAGATCTCTGAAGCTCGTGTCAGTCATTGCAAAAAGGTCTCCTTTTTGTCCTCTATAGGTTAAACCCAAGGCAGTTGTTCCTCTGAGATATCTGAAAATCCTTTTTACTTCTTTCCAGTCATCCATTGTTGGTTGCAGTTGTTTCCTCGACAAATAGTTGACCGAGTACGCAATATCTGGTCTTGTCGCACTAGCCAGGTAGAGAAGGCTTCCAATTGCCTCTCTGTAGGGTACATTTGTCAACTGCGCTACTTCTGCTTCATCTTCATCTTTTGAGTGCTTCTGATTTCGGCTTTTGACTTGCCTGGTCACCATGGGAGTCTTTTGAGGTTTACTTTCTTTCATATTGAATCTTTCCAAGATTCTTTCAGTATACTCTGATTGTGAGAGAGTAAGTGTCGTCTGTTCTCTGTCTCTGAATATTTCCATGCCAAGAAATTTCTGCGGTTCACCCAGATCTTTCATCTGAAACACTGAGCTAAGTTTTGTTTTGATTTCTAAGATTCTTCCAGCGTTGTTCCCTGCGAGCAGAATATTGTCCACGTACAGAACCAAGACAACCATCTGATTTTCTTTTCACCAGGTGAACAAACATGGCTCATTTATGTCCTTCTCTAGACCTAGTTTTAAAACTTCCTCAGTGAAACGTTTGTTCCATCTTTTTGGACTTACTCTGAGTCCATAAAGGGCCTTTTCTAACTTGCAAACTCTTCTTTTTCTTTCATCTGAAGTACATTGCAAACCATCTGGAATTTCCATGTAAATGTCATCCTCTAAAGTGCCATTTAAAAAGGCTGTTTTGACATCCATTTGATATACATCTAAATTGTATTTGTTAATAATAGCAAATGCAGTTCTGACAATTGACAGTCTGGAAACTGGAGCATAAGTTTCTCTGAGTTCATACTCCTTTCTATCCTTGAAACCTCTAATGACCAATCTAGCCTTGTAGACTGTTTTTCCATCTGAATTTACTTTCCTCTTAAAAACCCATTTTGAGTCAATGGTGTGGACTTTTGCTCCACTCTCATCGTAAGCGGGCCTATCCACTATAGTCCACACTTGATTTGACTCCATTGATTTTAATTCATCTCTAATTCCTTGTAGCCATTTGTCTTTTTCATCTGAGTTCATGGCTTCTCTGAAACTTGATGGATCCTTGTTTGTCATAGCTAAGAGCGCATGACTAATCTCATCATTCTCAATTGTTGTATTCTCAGCACTGGCTTGACTCTGATTTATTTTTGGTTCTTCTGATGTTGGAACACACTCAGCCAGTCGCAAGTGCGACCACGTTGGTCTATTTACTCTTGCCTTTCTATCTGGCAATTTTCTAATTTTCGGTTCTTTGCAGTCAATCGTCTGAGTTTCTTTTCTTTTCTTTGGTCTGCCTCTGTGAGGTTTCACAGTTTCTTCTGGAATATTCTGTGTCTCTAAGTCTTTTTTTTCTGATTCAAACTCTAAATGGCTTTCAAAGTTCTTGCTGTGATTACTTTCCTGTGAAAACTTCCTAATATTCTTTATGTCTCTGTACACAATCTTTTCATTGAATTTCGCGTGCCTGGAGATAACAAACTTGCCGGTCTCATATTGCCAGAGTATGTAACCCGACTTGGTATAACCTACCAGTACAGTCTTGACTGCTCTCTCTGAAAATTTTGACTCTGGGATTGGCACTCTTGTATATGCCAAGCAACCAAAACGTCTGATTTTGTCAATATGGGATTTAAGCCTTTGATCCATTCTCTGAAGAGGTGTCTCGAAGTTTATTCCCGAGTGTGGTGTCCTATTGTAGACATTTGTGGCAACGTCTGATGCCAACGACCACATACTTTTGGGAAGTCCCGAGTCTATCATGAGTGCTCTGATTAGCCACTGCAGAGTCTTATTAAATCTCTCTGCAGTTCCGTTTAACTCTGGAGTATGCGGGGGTGAAAACTCATTCTCTGCATTTTCACTTTTTACAACTTCTGAAAAATGTCCCCCGGTAAACTCCGTTCCATTGTCCGACCTGACGTAGCAGACCTTCTCGTTTTTGCCTAAAATGTTCCTCGTATGTTTGAGGAACTCCTCTAAGCATTCTCCAGCCTGATCCTTGGTCTTGGCGGAGTACGCCTTTGAATACTTGGTGTAATCGTCGACTATGACCACTATGAATTTGTTGCCTCCTGGATACGACTCTGGCTTTATTGGTCCCATCGTATCGACGTGCAACCTCTCTAATGGTTTCGTTGCTCTAACTCTGATTTCGGGAGATGGTAATCTTTCCATCTTTGCCAGTTTGCACACCTCACAATCCAGTATATTGTCTTTAAAATGTACATCTGATAGTATTGCCTCTGATTTCTGAAGTTGTTTTAAGTACTTCAAGGATTTGTGACCCAGCTTCATATGCCACAATAGACCCTTGTCTATTTTTGCACCAACGTTTAGTTCATAACTCATAATTTCATCTAATAACCTCTGATTATCATCTGAATTTGCATCGGTCGTTTCCTTTTCCGGATTAAGTTCATACTCTTTCTCCCTTCCAATCTCTGACTTCGTTATTTCGGAATCTCTTATCTCAATCGCGACGTCTGAATGTAATTCTTCTTGAATCTCTGAAATGTCAGTCTGAGATTGTTGTATGAACTCTTCTAGATTGACCATGTGTGCTGTACATGAGTAAATATTTCTCTGATTTGTACAACCAGTTGTGTTTGATTGCACCTCTAAATCTATGACCCAGTTTGGCTTTTTATACTCGCCAATCAAAAGTTCCTCTTTTGTTTCTCTATCAAAAATCTTCAGTCTAGTGTCATCTAAATATATACCTAATCCTGCATCCGCAAAGCGTCTAAGGGATAACAGGTTGTGCGAGATATCCTTCGCAGCGATCACACCAGTCAGTTTAACTCTCATCTGAGTTTGTTTTTAAAATCAAATTACCTTTTCCATTTATGATGATATTTGCTGATTTATTTTTATTTGCACATCTGATTACTTCTCTGTTACTCTTTTTAAAATCTTTTAAAATAAAACCTTTTCTGACTATGTGTTCGGTTGCTCCGGAATCTGCGATAAATGATATTTTATTATTCTCTACATTTTTACGATCATTCTTACCTTCACTTGTTAGCATAGCTTTTATCTTTTGGGCCTTCTTGCCCTTACTACCAGAGGCTTTCGACTTAGCCTGGTTTTTGCTAACTTTACTATTATCTCTGAATTTACTCTGAGATTTTTCCTTCTTAACATCCCTATCTCTGAAATTTTTATTTAATTTTCCTACATACCCGTCTTTCGGATTGTCCTTGTTTGGACACTGGTCGCCCTTGTGGTTTCTAACTGCTTGGCAGTAGAAACAGTACCACAGGTTGTATTCTCTCAAGGGACAACCTGCAGCCCTGTGACCCTCCCGGTTGCATCTGAAGCACTTTTCAGCCTTGGGCTCAGTGCTCTTGGTGACCACATTTGCTCTGACCTCTGAAGTGGTTTTTCTCTGAAACTGATTAATACTCTGATTATTCTCCGCTTGCAGATTAATTAAATACGCTTTTATATCATCTAAAGACATTTCCGCTTTTGTTGTCACGCGCATGACGGAATTCGCGGTTCTTATTTCTTTGTATCTCTCTGAGACGGCGTGGTAAAAGGCAGATCGCTTTTCCTCCTCTGAGAGAGGTACCATGTCTCCGTAATTTTCATATTCCGTCACGACTGTATCGAAACGGTCTATGAACTCTGAAGCAGATTCATTGGTCTTAATTTTGAGGTTATATAACCGCGCTCTGACTGACGAGGCTGTGACGTTTATCTCTACTAATCGGAACTCTTTGATTTTAGATATAATATCCTTTGGCTCTGAAATGTTTATCACTTTCTTGTGATAGTGCTCATCTAAATGGCTAATTATAAGTTCTCTGACAAGCATTTTCCTTTTATTCGACTCTGAAAAACCGTAAGTTTCTTCTAAATCACGACTATTTTCTAAAACATCTATATAGTCAATCGTTCTCAATTCACTTGTCAGAGAGTCAAGCCAGAGGGTAAACGAACCTTTTTGCGTTAATTTATATTTTCTTTCGAACGAGGGCTTTACTCTGCTTCTATTTCCCGAATCTACTGAACGCGCGAGGTTCGTCACCGTGTTATTCAATCGATTTAAAATGTCGTCTGAATTATTTGAATTCTGAGGTTTTTGAAAAGTAAAGTCGGATATTATTTTTGGACCTGATTGACGTCCCTTATCCATATTTACCGCGTTAAGTGAAGGGATATTAGAAAAATTGAAATTTTTACTAAAGCCCCCAATACCATCTCTGCGTCTGAATGTCGAATGCAAGAAGGAATCACTTACATCTGAACTCTGAAGATTTCCCTTATTCTGAGGCGGGCCTTCTTGCTTCTTGCGCATCTCCTCCGACATAGTTTTGTTTGCCTCACAAACATCTTCTATGGCGTTCACCATTTTTTCGCAGACATCCACCAGAGCCTGAACATGTCTAGTGGACCTCTCGAAGTTCACTGATGCTAGCGCCAAGTTCCGCGCTATTTCTTTAATGGCATCAAGTTGTTGTTGCCTTTCCTCTTTCTCTTCTCTCTCCAGGTCTAAATCCGCGTCCCTAACGGGTTCCGGATTCTCTGAATTCTCTGAAAAACAACAAAAAAATACAGCCATCTAGACATCTTATTTTTGGTTTTATTTTCTTGGAGGTTATAAGCCTTGCGGTCATATAACTCCTTTTTGGCCACTCTGAGATTTGCTGTATTTATTCTACAATAAACATCGAACATCTATAAGTTACCTCTTTCTGAGGTCGCAAGCGACCGCTCAGGAGACCCGTCGTCTGTTCGAGTCTCCCCCGGATCACCACTCGACTCATCGACTGGCCTCTCCGGAGTGCGGCTCCTGCTTTCATTGTCCATCTCACCTGCATGACAAAAAAGTATTTAGAAAATACCCATGCAAGATTTAATTATTGTTGAAGGCACCCAAGATTCATGACGGCACGGCCTGTCAAGAACGGGTAGCCCTCTAGCTGTCGAGCCCTACCGGCCGCAGGCCTACTCCCCGCGTCCCGCCCAGCCGCTGTCACCGCACAGCTAGTGACAGCTACGCGAGCGAGAGTGCACCCGCGGTGCAGACCCACAGACCAAGCGGTATCACGACAACTTCTCCTTAGGAGATATATATACGACGTCTGCACTGCATGACTGTCGACTGCATTTAAGAATGCAGATTTTAGCGCGATTTATTTGTGTGTGTGTAAAAGTACTGCACGGCTAGCACTTTCACACACTCGCGCAACGGAGAGAGAAAAATAAGCGAGGAAACAATTTAGTTATGCCCATCTGAGTAATTTTATATACATACATACATATAGGTATATATATATACTATACGTCTCAACAAGAAAAAACTCTGAAAAACAAAACTCTTCTAATAGCAACAGTATTTTCATGTCACGTCAGGCTCTACTCGCGCCGCGTGTTTACTCTTTCTAGCGTCTTCCCGGAATTCGCGAATGCCGTAGCGGCAGTCTGTCCCAATCTCTCCTCTCCCCGCCCCCTCCCCACGCATACACTGTCGCTCCTCATTCGATTTGTATAAAAAAACGACTCTGAATGTAGCTGTCTCTTTTTTTTTTTTTTCTCACACTGAAATGTTTCTCTGCTTATTAATTGCTCTTTATCTAAAGCAATCATGGGTAAAAAAAAACGCTACATGGAGGAGTCGGCCTAGCTGATCAGCCAGCCGAGAGCGAGAGAGAGAGAGAGACAAAACACGCGGACACAGAGCACTACGCACTCGCGACGAAAAAAACCGCGAAAAAAGACGAGAGAGAAAGAAAACACAAGCAAACTGTCTGTTTGACACCCTGCTAGAAAGGACACTTAAAGCTTCATTGGGTGTATCTCTGAAATTACCTTACTCTGAACTAAACTTCTCTTGTGCTCGCTCCCGCTCTCCTTGCCGCTTCCCGCCTTCTTCACGTCGCCTGGGCCGATAACCTGTTGGACTTAAGCCTTATTGCAGGTGGTGGAAGGGTGAGGGACAGGTCGCAGACAAAAATGCCCTTCTAGTTTTTTGTGAACACGTAAAACTTTATTTAATAAGAGTTGCCACGGGCGGTATGTGTTGCCGGAAGGACGATGCTCGCTGTACAAGTGCTCGGGCAGAAGTGAGTAGGCTTGAACAGCTGTGACGAGCTGTATAGTGTGTTACACACGAGAGGCGTCAGGCGGCAGCACAAAGCACCTTTTCTTAACATGTACCCTCGTATGCAGTAGACTGGTCAAAATAATAATTAATTTTTCGTACAAAGTTAAGCTACACACATGAATATCATTTTTCCCACTTCATACGTTATTAAAAATATCATAATGATTTTCAGACACATTTGTTTATTGAAAAACAAAACTTTATTTTTTGTTTGTCTTTGACCTCAGCAGTAGTTGTAGGAGCCCCCTTAAGATGAAATTTTCCAAATTTTTGTTTGGATCTAATAGTTTTTGAAAAAAACCTTATTTTAATTATAAGCTTACATTGCAGGAATTTATATAATTTATCTGAGTACTGTACAAATAAGTAAAAAATTATTTTTTTTGCTTGTATACGATACGCACATTAAAGTATTCAAGAGGAACAGGTCATCCTTTAGCAGATCTATTTAAAATGATAAATTGCTTTTTCATTTGGCCGATACTCAAAGATTCGCGTTATCACATTGACAAAATTTTCAATTGCACAAGTCATGTCGAATACCACAGCATGTGTCCTAATTGCAACGAGTACAGTAAAAAATTCGATAAAGGCGTCGATTTAAATCTTACATGTGATACTTGTGAAACGGAATTTAATGTACGCGATTCTAATTATACACACTTTTTCGTGACAATAGATCCCACGTTCGAAATAACGCATCTTGTAAAAGAAAATTTTGAATATTTTGAAAATGTTAGGAATAACGTAAGAAATAACGAATTTCATGACATTGTCCGTGGTGGATTACATAAAAAATTTGTAAACACTTTGCCCCAACAAAAGCGTGAGAGTTTCTGTACTGCCACATTCAATAGCGATGGATCGCCAGTATTTGAAAGTTCAACTTTCTCAATTTGGCCCATTCAAATAGTTATCAATGAATTGCCATTCGACGTAAGAAAAGGTCATCCTACACTAGCAGGGTTATGGTTTGGGAAGAAAAAACCAAACATGGATGTGTTTTTACAGCCTTTCATTCAAACAATGAACAAGTTGTCTGACGAAGGCATTGCATGCACTGTAAAAAACCGTACATTCCGTATCTTCGTATTTTGCATATGCTGTTGTGTGGATTCCGAAGCTAGATGTATTATGCAAGATATAAAACGTTGTAATGCGTATTATGGGTGCAGCTGGTGCCTACATCCTGGCTATTACGTTCACGACGGTAGAGGTGGCTGTGTGAAGTACATTATATTGGATGATCCAGTAGTACCAAGATCACAAAGTAGTTTGTTTAAGCATGCAGACGAAAGCAGTAATCATGGAGTCGCAGTTTTTGGAGTTAATCGTATAACAGTTTTGTCTAATTTACGTAGTTTCAATGTAGTATCCGGTTTCGTGATTGATGCCATGCACTGCATTGATCTAGGTGTTGGCCCCCAATTTATAAAGTATTGGATAGAATCAAGTAAAAAAGCGTATTCATTGTCAGCTGCGGAAATAGATAAGATCGATAGCATGATTAAAACATTAAAAGTTCCAAGGAAAATCGTCAGGTTTTCTCGTTCAATTCGAGACAGAAGTTTCTGGAAGGCAAAAGAGTATCAAAATTGGATACTATACTACAGCTTACCTATTTTATTGTCATTTCCGCATTTACGAGAGTGCGCAGAGCATTGGAACCTACTTGTGCAGTCTTACTTTATTTTGTTGAAAGAAACAATAACAGAGGAACAGCTGCAAGAGGCACATAGTAATTTAAACAAATTTGTAGTTTTAACAGAATATTATTATTCCAAAAGCGTTATGACCTACAATGTTCACCAATTACTTCACTTAACTCAAAGTGTAGCTGATTGGGGGGCCTTATAGTCTCACTCAGGTTATTTTTTTGAAAGTGGCAACGGACAAATTCTAAAAAAAATTCACGCAGCAAATGGAGTCTTAAGTCAGATTTGTAGAAATGTAGCTATGAATAAAAATGAGATTACACTACGAAACCACATTGCTTTGAACCTTGATTCGCAGATTACACCATTTGTTTCATATCTTGATAAGAAAGATACTACATCAGCAATAAAAATTTCGGATTGTACGTACGTTGGCTCAGATTATTCAATAAGCTCGTTGTGGAAACGACATCTACAATTATCTGACGAAAATAGGATTTATCGAAGAATGATAAAACATAAATCATTATTTGCAACACTAAAAAATACTAGGTTGCGTTCTAATAATTTTTTCGCAGTTACAAAACATGGTCAGTTTATTCAAATCATAGACTTCATAGTAGATCCACAAATGGAAAAAGAATTTACAATTTGTTACTTAGTAAATACAGAAGAGATTTTCAATTACGTGTCGGCTATGAAAACAATTTTGAACATTAGTAATAATCCAATTGCTATTGAAACAAACAGTGTGGAGTCAGTATGTGTACACATTAGCATCGATCGCACTGGATACATATGTGAAGTACCCAATTCATTTTCGTATTGAAAGTTTAATCCTATAGATAACCGTTTCAAATATCTTTCGTTTATTATTGGACTTTACTGAATACGTTTTACCATGATACATGTATATTGCGCATTTAACTATTTGTATTGCGGTGTTGAAAAATCTCCTATAATGTAAGGATTAAAATTGTAATTATAATGATTCGGAAATATAAAGTTCTCAAACAATAGTACATGTTAATTGCCCACAAAATACAATGCGATACTATTACGAGTCTTACATATTGTAATTGTAGTAATTAGAATTTGTAACTCAGGTAAGAAAACTTACAGTACGTATTTACACAATAAACAATTTTATTCTAATAATATATTTACGTATCTATGTTACGTGACTAAAATACGTATTTAAATTTCCGTGCAAGTCACTGAAATTTTGACTGAATGGAGTTTCACGTACTTTCGTTACGTGATTAAATTCTCAGTTAAAAATTTATAGCTATAATTATACCTATAATTTATAGCTATACTTATAGCCTATAACTACCTATAAAACAGCTATAATAATGTATTAAATTTAGCTTTAAATTACAGCTGTAATCTTTTCACAAATTTTGAATAAAAATTAGTTTAAAATCAGATTTTTTCAACATATATCGATCAGTGTAGACGGTATCATCCGTGTGATAACAGTAAAACTAAGGGCCTAAAATATTATTAAACAATTGTTAAAAAACTTGAAATTGTATATGATTTCTTGTTTTTTTTCTACTTATTCAAAAATACTTCAGGCCCTAAGTTTTACTGTTATCATACGGATGATACCATCTGTACTGATCGATATATGTTGAAAAAATCTGATTTTTAACTAATTTTAATTCATTATTTGTTAAAAATTTACAGCTGTAGTTTATAGCTATATTTATAGATGAATTGTATACATTATTATAGCTGTTTTATAGGTAGTTATAGCTATAAGTATAGCTATAAATTATTGGCATATTAATAGCTATAAATTTTTGACTGAAAAGTACGTATTTAAAATACGTAACGAATAAAAAATTTATTTTGTTAAAATCGTTTTCGAGCGACTGCTCGAGAGTATTTGTCTCTCTTTCTATGACCATAGTCAAGAAAGAGAAAAGAAAACTTTTGGAGAGCTCTGAGAGCAGACACTCGAAAACACACTGTAAGTGTTACGTACTTTCGTTGCGTGATTAAAATACGTATTTAAAATACGTAGTATAAGAATAATTGGTGACCA